GAACCAATCGCCCAACAACAGCAAATATGCAGGAGAAAGTGGAGATGGGTTGGACACTCGCTGAGGCCACCGCTGTGTGACATCGCGTGCGCGTCAGACCATTGGTCGAGTAGTACCCGAAAGGTAAGAGGCGAGTGGTACTTCAGTGCAAGGGTGACATGGAGGAGATCGTGTCAGTTGGAGGAGTTGAAACAGTATGGACTAACATGGATGCAGGTGAAAAGTACAGAGGAAGACAGAAGTGACAAGTGGAGACGTGCAGTTGAAGCTCTATGTTCCACTAGGAACCTAAGGGAACAATAATAATAATGACTTAAAAATTTTATAATGGAATATCAGAAATTCCAAGTTCAGGTTTCAAAGAGATTCTGTTATGTTTCAGTGCTGATTTTGCAGCTGACTAATGTGAATTTGAAAATCGGGCGAAGTTAAACTTTAAGCACCAGTAACGAACTACCAATCAGCAAATGAACTTGGATAGTCCAATGAGAATCATCCACGTGAGTTCAATGTCATATTGCGCTTGATTCGTTTCGTATACCTGCTCTAACGCAGTTATGTTTGCAGTTCCATGAGGATATAAGGTTTTGAAGTATTGCCTGAATTTGGGGTTTCTTAATAAAGTAGAGGATTTGTTCATGTGAAGTTTAAAAACCTTTACCTTGTCGATATATGTGTAAAACTTGGGCACTTTGGCAGTAAGTAATTCCATATTAGTTTGTTTATTAGATGTATCACACAGTGAAACAGTATTGTATACTGGATGACGTTTCGAACACAATTTATTGTTCATAGTCATATCAATTGTGGTCACACGACTTTGAGATTTGAGTTTTATAGTTTTCTTTGTTTTCTCCTATTTGTCGTATGGGCAGTAGAATTTTCCAGATATCCGGTTGGACAGGTGTTGAATCGTTTCTATCACATGTATTTGCAGTTGATTCGATAAACAAAGCTTCTGTTATCAATCTCTCCCTCCCAACACCCTGTGACATTAGATTTTAAAACTGTCATCCTATCCCATCCAACCTATTGTATGGTTGTGTGTCACTGCATGTAGTGCTATAGCTGAACTACTCTCTAGATTTCTTATCTTATTCGGGTCAACCAATCTAGACTTAGCTAGGTTTTTATGTTCGGCTAGTCTGACTGCCCTGTTCTACTAGTTTGACCTATGTATTTGACCTGACAATCATTCCAGCAGGGTATTAGATAAACTAAATTGTTTTGTTTTAATGACTCCACAGGATCCTTTAACCGACAAAGCTTGTTTCTAATTGAGTTTGTGGGTTTTAATGCCACTTTTATTCCTGCCTTGTTAAGTATTCTGAGTAAGGCTTCCGAGGTTTCTTCCTTGTATGGAATTACTGTTGATGATTTAGCTTCCTTATTGTTGGTGTCGTCATTAATATTATTATCACTATTATTATATTACAACTATTATTATTATCATCACTATTATTGTTATCATTATTATTATCATTACTATTACTATTATCATTATTTATTTCATTTTTACATTTACTTACATATTTCTAGACTAATTTATCCGGGCAATTATTAAGTTTCAAGGCTACTTTTATGTGTATCACTTCCTGTCTTAGATTTTCCTTGGTACTACTTAGTTTTTGTGCTCTGTCATTTAAACATTTCACTAATCCTATTTTTACTGACATAGGATGGGATGATCGGAAATCCAAATATCTGTTTGAATGTGTGGGTTTTCTGTAAACACTAGTGTTTAGCTTCCCATCTTCTTTCCTTTTTACGTTGCAATCTAACATTGGAAGTTCCCCCTATGAGAGGCGCAGCTGCTGAAACTGAAATTAACTTTGTGTCAACAGTTCGGTGGTACCAACACTGCAGAGACATTGCCTCATGGAAAATATCGAGAATTACTTCATTGTTAGGCGGTGAAGTTGTCGTCCTACACGTGAACGGAACTGTCTTATTCAAGAAAAAATACAACGGTGGTCGTGAACGAACCAACAATGTTTGGCTGATCGTTTTTAGTATGACACCTTCCTGCAGAAAGGATTAGTGGAAAGAATACCAGACAGAAAGTCTACTACTATCTTATTACCTATTGTCACTGGACTTGTGAAACAGGGATCCATTGTACATACTGATGAATGGAAAGGTTATAACTAGCTGTAATCTCTTAGATATGTTCATCACAGACGGAACCATTCTAGGGAGTTTGTAGATCCCATTACAGAGACACACACGAATTCGATTTTGAGGAAGATAAAAAATAGGATTACAGCTATAAATGGAACTCAAAAGTTGGTCATTTATAGCCATTTAGATGAATACATATGTTTTCAAGTATTGGTTTTGTAGGGATTTTGTTTGATTGCATGGAGGATTTATTCATGAGCTGACATAAGTTAGAGAGCCACTGGAAAACCTGGGAGTACCGGACAGCTGTTTCGTCCTAGCTTGGGACTCTTCAGCAGTACGCACCCACCGGGATTCGAACCCAGGACCTTCTGGTTACAAGGCAAGCAGTGGTCGCGCTATGTCGTGAACTGGTGGAAGTTAGAATCCAAGGACCATTGGATCGGATACCAGTGAGTGGCTCAATGGTCTACGACCTCGCCTTGTGACCAGAAGGTCCTGGGTTCGAATCCCGGTGGGTGCGTACTACTGAAGAGTCCCAAGCTAGGACGAAACAGCTGTCCAGTACTCCCAGGTTTTCCATTGGTTCTCTAACTGATGTCACCTCATGATTAAATCCCCCACGGAATATATATGTGTACAGAATATGGTGTAACTTTCTTTTGACACTCCTATGCTAAACTGGGACACGTTTCTTTCACATTGTTAGAGAAAGATACCCTATGTAACAGTTTTATGCAGTTTTTTTTGGTTTTGTTTTTCATAAGATACATTTTCTATAATCGAAAATCCCTCTTTCATGTGATTGGTGCTGTTGAAGGTCGTTCGCTGATTGGTGGTAGTTAGTGGTGCTTAAAGTTTAACTTTGCCAATCAAAAATCGTTATTGAACCAAGAAGCTTACTGGACGACTAATAGTATCCATCCTATTTCGAAAATACTCAGCAGTGTGCATTCATGGCTTCGTTGATTATCGAACTTGGGACTTTCAAATTATGAAGCCAACCCGTTAATATTTCATCCACCTAATTTTTACCGAATGACCATGAATTCTAAACCCTTCTAATTTGCGATATCTAACCATTGGGCCAAAAAAAACTCAATGATTGATGAGCTTACACTTCGCGACTTCTCAAAATTTAAATATCAATCTGTGGTTCACTAGCAGCTACTAGATTGATGTCCTGACGTTTTACCGAGAAGTTATTATCATTGACGTCGGCCATATCAGGATGACGTAGATTCGCACCAATGAGTTTAGGATACTGTGATTCTATCTTACGAAATGACAGAATCTACGAATTTTCTATAATTTGGTTTTTAAGGGTTAGTTTTGTTTTTACGAGTTGATCACGGATTGATATCAGTTAGAGAACCATTGAAACCCAGCCACAGGGAGTACTGGACAGCCAGCTGTTTCATCAGACTAGTATGGGAATCATCGTCAGTACCCACCCACCACTGCACAGGCGGTTCAAACTCAGGACCTTCCGATTACAAGTCAAGCTGGTTCGTATACCATTCAGCCACTCACCGGGACCTAACCCGATTCAATGGCCAGTCAGTCCTTGAATTCTAACTACTACCATTTCGTGATTTAGCGTGACTGGCACCGACAAATGGGGGACATTCATCCTCACATGTGACATCTGGATGGACCTCACTGGTCACGACTTCTCACTAGAACTGACTCCAGAAAACTCCATCCTGTAGTTAGTGGTCACTAGCGAGCATCAGATTAATTTACTATAGTTTCGTTTGTAAGGGATAGTTTCGTTTTTACGAGTTGATCACGGATTGATATCAGTTAGAGAACCACTGGCTGCCCGCTGAATTGCTTTGGGTCCCAGTGAGTGGCTGAATGGTATACGAGTTAGCCAGCCAGCCAGCTAGCTGGCCTTGTAACCGGAAGGTCCTGGGTTACAACCCTGAAGGTGGGTGCGTACTGACGATGATTCCCAAACTAGACGGATGAAACAGCTATAATCAAGCAGATAACAAGTCGGTGGGCCGGTCTCGTCACATGAAGATTCTAAATTCCTCGCCTAGCTGAGTCACTGGTGCACAGTGGTGAAGGTTCTCACAGTAGGCCAAAACAGTTGTCCAGTATGCTGTAGGGTTCTCAATGATTCAATAACTGCCAGCATTTCGTGATAAAATCCCTGATTAAAACTCTGGTGAAAGCTGTCTGCTGGCTAGCTAGCTAGCCAAAACTTGGTAGACAGTAATTTCCGTCAATGTTTATGTCCCAAATAATAAACATGAGAAAACAAAAACAAGAACAAAGACTAAGTGACCCAACAACCAATCACAGAACACTTTGCTTAGGCGTAGGCGGATACAATTAGCAGATAGCAGATGATCTGACCTTCAAAAAACAGTCACAAAGAGAAGAAACAACCAATCAGAAGACAGTGTTTGTCTGCTGCTAACAATAATCTATAATAATAATAGTAATAATGTACATGAAAATCTATAAATCTGTGTTGATTTCCTTAATAAACGATCTGTTGACTGGCTGGCCTTATCTCCTACTGTTAAAAAACTATCAATACTCCAAAAAAATGAAGCTAAATGTATTAGTCAGTACCTTGAGTCAGTTAAACTTCTGAATTATCACCAACAAACTGAAAATGCAGTGCTAAAATATGTGTGTGTAAAACTTGGGCACTGTGGTAGTAAAAGAAACACTCAAACTAAACATTAAAAAGACACCCGATTTTGAGTAATATGTTAAAACTATCACACTAAAAAACAAGCCAACAAACAAACGTAAAGACACGCACACGCACGCACACACACACACTCACAGAAACACACGAACATAAATGCCGGTGTTAGAGCATTAGACAACACTCTCAACACTACTAATCAACTTACATTTTCAGTAATGGTTTTCATCAGATTTTTGTGTTCCACTGAACTTCGCAACACATACCAATATATATATATATATATACCGAGGGAGCTTCGCTTATTTCGTATTCTATGATTTCATGTAACAAAGGATAAGTATAGTGTTTTAATGGAATATTTATCAATATCGCCTGTATATATATATATATATATATATATATATATATATATATATATATATATATATATGGTGAGAGCAGCCTGCTAGCCAATTGGTCGACATTAATCTACGTCAATGTCTAGGTCACTAATATGGGCCGTGAGAAAATATGAACAAGGCTGATTCAACAACCAATCACAGCAAACTTAAACGTGGGCAAATATGATTCGCAGATAGATAGCTCCACTTTCCGAGGAACTCGAAAACAACCAATCAGAAGACTGCGTTTGTCTACTTGACTAGGCTATAATAATGTATGTGAAATTTATATAAATACGTATTGATTTTTGTAATAAAATGATCTGTTGCCTGGCCCTTGTCTTCTGTTGTTATATATATATAAATATATATATATATAAAGCTCAACCCCACGCTACGTATCCAAACGAAATGCGTCCAATTCTTGTCCCTGCCATGGCTATCATAAACAGGTAATTCCTGTAGTAATGACCATTCCATATATATATATATATATATATATATATATGGAGTAAAAAGAAAGTTGCAGCGAAGAAAATTTACTTTCCGACGAAGCCACCGTCAACTAGGCTGTACATTCGTGCATTTATAATAAACGGGTAGGAAAGTTCCAGAATGTTTGGATAAAAACGAAATCTAGTGGTGTGATAACTAATGTGACGACGAATTATTGTTTATGCAATCAGGAATTAAATATGTAGAAACAATAAAATGACAAAAAAAGACAGGAAATTCGCATAAGAAAGGCAATGAGATGGTCATTACTAGGGGAATTATCTGTTTATGATAGCCATGACAGGGACAAGAATTGGATGCATTTCGTTTGGATACATAGCGTGGGTTTGAGCTTTTGGATGGTTGGTACCTCGGCTATGCCCAAATGTCTTAAGATTTGATCAAACCTATCAAAGGGAATGAAATTAACGCATCTGGGAATAGCCTAGGCACTAGCCATCCAAAAGTTCAAACCCACGCTATGCATCCGAAAGAAAAACGTTCAACCCTTATCCCTGCCATGGCCATCATAACACAGGTAATTCCTTCAGTAATCACCATCCAATTGACTTTCTTATCCAAACCTCCTTCTGTTTATTCATGTTATTTTAAGTTTATCACAATCCCTCCACTATTTACACTACCATATTTTCAAATCCGAACTTCCTGTCTATTTTGTCATTTTAAGATTCCTCCATATTTAATCCCTGATTGCATAAACGACAATTCGTCGTCACATTAGTTATCATACCACTAGATTTCATTTTTATCCAAACATCCTGTCTATCTATTTTTGTTATTTCTACATTTCTAACCGCCAATCGCACACAATCAATGTCAATCTTCTCAGTAATTATGAGATGCTACTTTATTTGAGTTTTATCCACCGTCCCCCTATTTATTATATCATTTTTATTCCTAATTATAATTTTATTAATTTGCCCCTTAACCGGAAATTACTCTGGAACTCTCCTACCCATTTATCATAAATACACGAATGCGCAGCTGTCTAATTGACGATGACTTCGTCGAAAAGAAAAGTTTTCTTCGCTGAAAGTATCAAATGTGTATATTGCACGATATATATATATATATCTTCAAGTTAAGCTTCCATTGAAATGGTGTTAAAACTAACTGGACACATTTGATAAACAGCAGTCACTATGGCGTAGTACCTACGACAAAAATGAATGTTGGAATTTAATTGATGGATGGTGACTAGCAGTGGAATCCAGTCCAGGTAAGGCGCATTTCGTCCATACTATTTGGGACTCTTCCGCCAGCTGCATATACCTGCATTTCCCAGTGAGTCAGTGATGATGTTCCCACCACCACCACCACCGAGGCTTGAACCCAGTGCCTATTGTTTCAAACGCCAGCCAAAGCGTTATCCACTAGATGTCTTGTGCAACGGGTCATATTGATTATTGAATTGATTTTTTTTAGATTTTCCTGTCGAATGATTTTACCGAAATGCCGACATGTCAACCTAAGAGCTGCCAAGCAGGATTTAAGAGTGTATCGATGGGTAATGGAACCCCCCCCCCGGACCAAGACGTTCACAGTCGACAAGCATTCTACTAACGCACCAATTTACTGAGTTAGTCTTACTCAATACCAGTTGAATAACTCTAGCTCTTCTCTTCATATTATGATGACAAATAGATTTAGCATTGATTTTGACCGGTTTCATGTCTAAATGGGAATATATTTTTAAATAACGACAACAAGTCAGTTAGTTAATTTGTTGAACAAATCTGCTAGCAGTAGGCTGGTATTTATGTGTGAACTGGGTGCCTATCGGTTGATCATAGATAGTAATAGCCTTAGGTGTGTGTACACAGTCGATTATCCTGTCTTTTAATTTTGTCATTATTCACTCGAGACCCTGGAGGTCGATGTCAGTTAACGGGCTCCACTGTGTGTGTGTGTGAGTGTGTGTGTGTGTGTCTAATCCACCTTCTTCTAAATAATATTAGTTTGAGGATAAACTTTCGCTTGGTTCGCTTTCGATTGATGCTTCTTGTTGCCCTGTCTTTTCTGCCCATCTCATCTTCAGTGTAAAGCAAAGGCGCTTTATTTAGTAAAAAATACACGTCGTACTGCGTTTAAATGGACTAAAGTTTTTCAAGGAATCAATTCCTCTCTAAGTAGATTCTTCACTTTACACGATCACGATATTACTATTCAACACATTTAAATATAGACGCAAGCAATTTAATAAGTTTCCCGTGATTTATATATGTCCAAACCTCAAGTTTACTTTAAACAGTTTGAAAACATTTTGGGCATTGGGTGGTATATGATATTCATTATAATAAAGGTTCTTTTATGTATATGCCAATGAATTAATGAAAAACAAAACGATATTATTGCTCTTACTGACGTTTCGCTACTTAATGCTGCTGCTAATAGCTTCATCAAAGCAGTATTATTAAACCAGAAGAATCTACAAAATCTCAGGATACATATATAACAACTTAATCATCACTTCTCAATGTGGGGGCATTTTTCCGTTGTCACGTTGGCCAATTGGTAAAGATAACAAAGCCAGGTGTGAAGATTTTTCGATTTGATCAGTGTGTAAAATTACAAAAGCAGCCTGTGTGTGTTTACATAGTTAACTTGGTTATCACATTCGTGTTGATTTTATCAGTTCATAAGGGAGGGAGGTATTGTAACCAGATCAGATTCTGTTTTAGTCCATCATTCCTACTCAGTTCACACAATTTGAATTCCACTCGATGATATGAAGTGTTTCTGATGATGATATTAGACGTTCTTTGTGATTTTTGAGATACTTTTTCGGGATGACGATTTCAATATTGTCAAAATCAATTTTGTGGCCAACCTGATTCTATAGAGTATAGCGTGTAGACGACCTATGGCTGATGATCCATTTCTCGGTGATCGAACAGGTGCTCTACGGTGTTCATTTCTTCTGATCACCTTGATTTCCCTCTAGCGATGTTTGTCTGATGTATATCGCATCACATTCCAAGCAAGCATTTTATTTTATAGACACAATTAGATAGAGAATCTTTAGCGATTTGGTCTTTTATATGGACAAGGTTGTTTCACAGTGTGCATGTCTGATGTTTTGAAGAAAACTCTAATGTCGAGCTGATATTGTCTGATGTCTTTGCTCTATATAAATGACGACTGTTGATGTCCATGTTTTCGGAATGCGTTTTCAACCATACTTAATGCCTGTGTTGATTTTGTTGATGAAGTTCCTTGGGTAGTTGTTTTGCTTGAAGAGAATTTCAGTAATGTTTGATATTTCTTCTTCTTTTACTTGCTCATCCGTTACCAGAGAGTGTGCTCGTCCAAGAAGACTTGAAACAACTGAAATCTTTGCGCTGATGGGGTGTGATGATTTAAAGTCTAAATATTTATTGGAGTGGTTATTCTTCCTGAATGTGGATATACTAAGATGTCTGTTTTCCCTCCTCTTAACTAGGCAGCCAGTCTAGAAATGGCAGTTCACCAACGTCTGGTTCTGCTTCCAAAGTGAACTGGATCATGGGAGATAGATTGTTCAGTTCAGTTTTAGCACAACAGAAGTATCATCTACATATCTTTACCATATGAAAAGATGTTATCTTCGAATCGATTCATGAAAAAGTCAGCGATTATTGGGGAGACTGCTGAACTCATAGCAATACCATTTATCTGTCTATATAAACTCTTTTTAAATGTAAAATAATTACTTTCTGGACAGAATTTCAAGCTCTTAATTATTTTACTTGTGTCCAGTGGACATCTTTGTGATAGCGTTGTATCTGATTCTAGTAGAGTGGAAATGATATCAAGACTTTTGGTGATAGGGATACTAGTATATAATGGGTTAATATTATGGCTTACCATAATGTAGAGGTTTGAATGGCAATCAAAACTCTACCTCAACTTTATAGACTTCGAGAAAGCCTTCGACAGACAGCGTTGACCATGAAGTAATTTGGAAACTGCCCAAAAATTCATCAACCTTATTCAACATCTGTACGACAACGCCACATGTCAACTGATCCACGACGGAAAATTCAGCGAGGCGTTTCGAGGAAACACAGGAGTCAGACAAGGGTGCTTATTATCACCAATGAATGATATTTCTAATTGTGATGGACTGACTGGACTATGCGTCAGACAGTGGGAAATGAGAAGACAAGGATATCCTGGACTGACCGACGTGAAGAACCTAGAAGACCCGGATTTCGTGCAGCGATGATTTATGTTTGATGTCACTGTCACAAAATCGAAGACTTAGAGGCAAGCGAAACCGATAAACTGGTTGAAAAAGCAGCCGGCGAAGACAGGACAGGACTCCAGGTGAACATAGACAAGACGGAGGTTATGAAAATAACCAACCAACTGACGACGACAACAACAACAACAGCAACATCCAGCGCCAATCACCATCAACAGGAGGGATTTGA